ACCGGTTCGACTCGGTTCAGTTTCAGTTCGATTTGATCCTCAAATCGAACCGAAACCGGTTCTATGATCAAACCAGAGTCAGACCGGTCTGATCACATACCTTAACATCCCTAGGAGTTACCCTCCCCTTGCAAAATAAAAAAAACACACCTTTCTATCCAAAGTGACATTTTTTAATTTTCTTGCTTCCTGCAAGAAACGACCGGCCCAAATATTGTCAAAGTTCTCCCAAGACATTTCCGTGAAAGACATCGATGAAGTAACTAACATTTCTCTATAACGAAGAAGAAATCCCCAGAATGACTTCTCTTGATAATTTCTTAGATATGATGCGAGTTCATCGTAACTGATATATGTTTCTCGAACATTCATAAGAGAGGTAGACATAGTGAGTATTAGCTTAGTGAATATATACGCGTAAATATGACCTAGAAAGCGAGAGTTTAAAGGTGAATAAAAAATACAGTATGTCCCTGAAACCTTTGCATTTTTATAAAATAAAACGCGTGTACTCGACGCAGTAGTAAATACTATTTTAGTCCTGCATAAACCTGCAGGTGGTACATTACACTGGGTGATCACTGCGCTCAACGTATTATAAACAATCTCCTGAGACCCTGACACTCTCCTGGCACTATCACGGGTGATCAGCCAATCAGATTTTGCGCAGTAACTAAGCCACCGACACGAAACACATAACACACTACAAACAACACACAACACTCTTTAAAAACAAAGATCTTTATTATATTTTTTCAAAGTATGGGTAGAGAAAAAATACACAGATTAATGGGCGAAGAAAAAAAATCATCTGTAGAAGAATCTTTATGTAGTTACTGTCTATTACCCCCACATTTGACGATTCTTGGGTATTACCAGTGGCAATGTCATAAGAAGGTGGTGGTCGAAATGATAAGGAACTGACATGTAATTCTTCATGTAGAGAGGTCCTTCTGTGGCCGACCAACTGCTCTGTATTGGAAATATCCATTTCATCGTTGGTGGTTAATGAGCTAACAGGCAGAATTGTTGAGCGTCTAACGAGAAGTGACTGTCTTCGACTAACAGATGGCGATTGTCTTTGGCTAATAGGTGGTGATTGACTTTGACTAATAGATGGACTTCGACTTAACCGTCTTTCGGAGGATCTCAATTCGCGTTCGACTTCCCTGGTAGATGGTGCAGGTGTAATATTTCCACTACCTCTATTTCGTTTTCAGTTAAAAGTATTAATACCGCGGACTCTATCGAATTCATCCTCAGGTCTCTCCCAAAAATGTGTACAAAATTCATCAAAATATCGTGCACCTGTTTGACTTCTGGCTTTACTTTTACCAGACATAAAATTACACATAGCCTAACAATAAAATGATCAATGTTAGAACCGGACATGAAGGACAGTTAGTAGAGCTAACAACAAAGTTCTCAAATATAGTGATAACTTACATTATAATCCCGGACAAGATTTGAGAATTTTTCTTTACATTCTTTAGAATGGTGCAACAGTCTCTGGAAAACTCTCTTGATAAGACTTTCTGGTAGTCTATCAATAATATGTTTATAGTCAGAATGGAACATTATAATAAATATAGTTTTGTGCAAAAAAAGTTTGCGTGCAAGAAATTCACCCTGACATAGGACATAGCATTAAAAATAAATTTACGTGTTAATATCACGAGAGATCTAATACTGATTAAATCACATGTGCGCCTCTAATGCCGATCACTTTTACCAGCCAGTATTAATACAGGATCATGTTTTTCGTGATACAGATAACAAGTTTTTTATTAATTCGTTTTGCGATAGCATGTCTTCTAATTTCGCAACTCTGGTCCACCTTCTTATAAATTCGAAGCCAGAAAACAAAGTATCCTATTTATCTTTTTCTGAACAATGTGAAGAAAAGGGCAAAATTTGCCAAAAAAAAAATAACACTAAACAATGGGATCATAATATCGTCATAATATATTTTTATTAATAATATATACAATCTATCTATTTTAACTTAATCAGATGTTACTGTTGATCTATCTTCTAAGTTTCAACTTGATCTACATTAAGGAGTATTGCGCAGTAAAGACATGTTAACAATTAAAATATTCCACGAAACCAACAAGGTTTTAATGAATTCGACCAGAACAGAAGGTTTATGTGAATAACGAATTGGAATTATAGATTCGCGTAATTTGTAATAACAATGTACTTTAACCTTGTCTCTGATCAGAATATTCTAACATAGTTTTTGTCCTGCTACTTGCACCCCTATAATTCCAAATTGACCCTTCTCGGGTTTGCGACTTTTTTGGACCCAGTTCATTCCATCATTAGTTTCGCGCTATAATTTCACATTATCATCGTCTTCCTTCTGCTTATTACAAAAAATTCGTGAGCATTCTACGTACATAAGTTCGTAAAGTTTATCACTCTCTTTTGACACAAGCATTATATCCAGCTGTCTTCCTGTACGTCCATCACCCCTTCTATCCGAACTTGCTATACTTTGGCGTTCAAAACTAAAAAAGGGATTATATTCATCAATTTAAGATTTGTAACTAGTTATAGCCAGATATTACAAAATACTTACGTAGTAATGAATACATGTTCTTCAAAAGGGTTATCAAATAATGTAGCATAGATTGCAGAGACAACTACATTATTAACATAGGTACCCTCATTCATCGTTTCAACAAATTTAGGACCAAAAGCTGGATTGCACCAAATACTTTTCAATGTATCAAGAATTTTTAACGCAACTTCGTTAAGCTCATTGCCACCTTCCTTCTAGTTCCTATCATGCGTTAATCTTTCTTGCAACCTTGGTATACTTCATGACATAAAATTTGTTACGAATTTTACACATTCTTCTGTTATGCCTCAAGGTATTGTTGGGGGTACCATTTCTTCAACCGGTTTCTGGAATGAATATAATTAATTTTTAGATGGTAGAAATAATATATATTATCTTTTACTGTCGAGAAAAGAGAGTATTAGCGAAGATACATACCATAAATTTTTTCTTTTGTTTTTTTGATAATTGAGCTACTAGTAATGAATCACCACTGATAACCTGACTAGCCAAAGGGATCTTCCAGGTTAGTTCAGAGATTGCTAATCCATTTAAAATAACTACTAACTCCTGGCAAAGTTTTGATGTTCCGGTCTAAATAATACGAATACCTCGTATTAGTCTGACTTGTCAGCATGATAAAAAAAAGATAGTGCCACCTACAGCAAGTTTTCCTTTTAACTTATTTATATTGTGTTTAATCTGCTCTGAAGTAAGAGGCTTCTCTTTATTCTACAAGTCGAAAGATTGTTATTAAATATATTCATATCATCTACCCTTTCTTAAAACGTACCGTTTTTATAACTCCAACATCCTGCAAATTACTAATACAATCAAAAGCAATATCGAACTAACGCAGATATACAAATAAGTTAGATAACCGCTGATGCATCAAATGAAAATATAAATAACCGCGCGGTCGTCAAAAAATAACACAAAGAAATCACCCGGTACGGCCTGGCTACACGAATGAAACTTTGTGTGGCACAATATTAACCACATTAAAACAAGCATGGACTTCAACATAAATAACCCTCCACACCGTCGAGGAGAATCCTGTTGGTAGGCTAATAGGGTTTTTATACCGACATACTTATCTCCTCAGAAGTGCCACTATCTGCGTACTCATCATTCGATATAATATGATCATAATATTTCACCTATAAAATAGCGTACCTGTGGTATAATTTGAATAAGTTTTCCAGAACGTTCAAAATCTAGACCATGCGAGTTTTTTATCAAATTAACCGCTTTTTCTACAACGCCTCTTAGTTCGTCTTTACTAATCCAAGGATTTTCTTCTAACCCTTGGTAAATAACGGAGCCTGCCATTAAATGTTCAGTCTTTACGCTAGTCAAATATTCTACAGTTTTTACGTATAAATATTCTGAAGACATAATGATGAAGGTAGTCAAAATATAATGTTAGAAGCCTGCTAAGCGAAATAAAAATAATGTAAAGGCGTAATAATTTCACTATACTACCCTTTTAAATGACGTTCTCTCTGGGTTTGTATTCATGTTGGGGGAAGAGGCAGGAGAATATGCAACAGACCCTTACGCCGAAAGTTTGTGTTCGAGAATAAGGACATGCGGAACGTACATTGAAGATCTCAACATTACATCATATATATTTTAACGAGGATCGAAAACGTGCTAATTCATGTCGCACACGCCTACATGCATTAGCCTTGAGGCACTTCACTTAGTTGAATAGTATATTATTTTTATTAATATAATATTCGGGATCTGAACTCGAAAAATACTTTATTAAAATAGATTAGAAGATCTAACCCTGAATAGACAGATCATGTATAGCACGCAGATGATATATTTACTAGGCGATCATGCATGCAGATTATGTAATTATTCATTTCGTAAAAAAAATAAATTATATCATGAATAAGTTATGTATTTATGTATAGTGTCTTTGGCTAAATATAGTTGAGATAAATAATACTAATATTCAATCGAAAGATAATAAGTCTATTTCCATGCATAATACCAGCATTAGGATCTTTTGACTTGGACACTCAGACATTCGCGAGCTAGGTTCACCTAACCAGCATGAAAGCTGTGTCTGGTCCATTTCTCAACACTACATAGTACTTTTCATAATAGCTAATAGTACTTATTAATTCAAACGTAAACCTTCCTGAGAAATCGGGAATAGGTCCGTATACTGCCTTATCTAACCGTCGTCTTAACTGATGTTTCTTAGCTTCTATCCATTTATCAGGAGAATAATAAACATATTCCTCATATGGTGGAGTAAATTTGGCTGGATTGATTATTCCAATGTACTTTGAGTAATATTTTCTAAAATAAACATAAA